TTGCAAAAAAAAAAGTTGCTTTCACTATGAAATCTACGTGGTCATGAAGGTTGAACAAATGGCACAGAATATGTTATGGCGAATAATCTACTCTTCGAATTCATTTCTTTACATTTTTGTCTTTTTTCGTTTGATTTTGGCATTCTACGACATTGGTATAGTTTTTACTTATTTTTTTGTAACTTACGGTATATTTTAGCTCATTTTGCAACTGTTTTGTACGATTTACAGTATGGTTGAAAACTTTTTTTTTGGAAACGGCCGAAAATTCATGCGCGCGCGGATGTCATCCATATAATCAAATCAACATGGCCTAAGCAACGCTCGAGTCAGAAACCTCCCAACGCGCTATGTCAGAGATCGTACTTGAACCCGGCGATATTTCTCGCAGCTGAAGAAAGAGTCCAGCTTGTCAATTCGTTCACGCGCCTCGCTCTTACCAAGGGGACCTCAAGTCTTGCTCCTGATCCTTAAACTCAAACAATATGTCTTGACCTTGCCATTGACGAAGGTCAAGTAGGAAAAAACGTTTCCACATCAACAACAGATGGGGAAAATAGAGAAGGACATTGGCGGAGAGTTCGTTTCAAAATATCCCCCGAAGTTTGGATTGTAGTTCGTTCAACTTCAAGAAAGATTTATGGATGTGTTAAACTTGGGGTTATTTTGAGGCCAGTTTTTTTTTTAAGTTTTAAAAGATGAAAGAATCTCCGTTCTGGGCATGCGCAGCAAAGCATTGAAGGCCACAGATAGTTTAGTAACCTGTGAGAACGTTGTAGACATTTTTTTATTCTGTTAGGAAGTTTAGCTGGTGTGTTTTTCACACAGATTTTATAATTTCTGATATCTAGTAGGTCTTTTTTTATTTTTATTTATTTAGTGAAATACAGTGCAATACACGCGGAACAGAGGCAGCTGTTGCTGGTGTTGTGTCCCGCACATAGAAACGAATACTGGACAGACAATACTCATTTTCGCCGTGTAAAGTGCCTTCCCAAGGGCACAAGATCGGTAGCATGTCAGGACTCGAACCCGGGACCTCTTGATTCCGAGTCGCGCACGCTGCCGTTGCGCCACACGACCCCACCTTGAGTAACGTTACTTGAATTTAAAAAAAAATAATTTCCAACATGTAATCACAAGACGTGGTGACGGCACACTCAAGTTTTTCAAACTTATATTAATTTGAGACCCCTAGTACTCGTTCGTTGCACTGCGACAGTTCATATGTTTTTCTATGATCAGCATAATCTTGTACGTGGTGTTAGCCTCCTGTGCAGGCTCCGGGGCGGGTGGGAATTTTGATACAGCATTTTGAAGAGTTTCTAACGCGTTATTTTGATAGCCGGCCATCCTACAAGAGGGCCTGCAAGCCCTTTTTCGTAAGGCGTAATCAGGCCGTTTTAGACTTCGTAATTCGTAGGCAGCCTCCGCAAAATTCAACGTAATTCGTAATTGGACATTAGCCGCAAATCGTAAAGTCGTAATCAGCTCTGAGACTTTAACGTAATTCGTAATAGGCGGCGAAATTTTGCGTAATTCGTAATCACTACCCCCCCCCCCCCCCCCCTTGCAGGCCCTCCTACAACCAGCCGCCGAGAGAAGGTTCCATTACACTCACGGAGCCTGCTTTCTTTCGGCAACAAAAAGCAATGGGTCGAATGGAACCAGCGTTTTAAAAACTCTTCAAAACGCTGTATCAAAATTCCCACCCGCCCCGGAGCCTGCACAGGAGGCTATGTGGTGTGGATGTTGGATCTAGGTGTTATAACCACTGAACCTAGTACGTATACGACCTGTACAAGGCTAAGGCACTACCTTTTTTTATTTTATTTTTTCCAACATGTAATCACCAGACGTGGTGACGACACACTCAAGTTTTTTCAACTTATATTAATGCCGCCACCAACACAGGGGACAAATACATGACATGCAGGACAATACTCATTTACACCTGAGCTAAGTGAGGAAAGTCGTGTAAAGTGCCTTTCCCAAGGGCACAAGATCGGTGGCATGTCAGGACTCGAACCTGGGACCTCTTGATTCCGAGTCGCGCACGCTGCCGTTGCGCCACACGACCCCACCTTGAGTAACGTTACTTGAATTTGAGTACTCGTACTCGTTCTTTGCACTGCGTCAGTTAATATGTTTTTCTATGAACAGCATAATCTTGTATGTGTTGTGGGCGGTGGATATAGTCTTTAGGTGTCAAAAACACTGAACCTAGCACGTATACGTATAATACGGCCTGTATAACGCTACAACACTACCATTACCTCATACTCATACCTTATTGACAGTGCATAGTGGCAAGTTCTTTCTACCTACAACTATTGCTATGTGAACGTCACAAAGTTTATAATCGGCCAGGTTGCAGTATAATCCTTTGTACATTCCTGTCAGAAGAGCGCATACCCCCTAGGACACGGATGCTTATGGATGTTTGGACCCAAAATAGGGAACCAATAACTTCAGCAAACGTGACTTCCTTGTGACACAAGTACTCGAGGTCTTCCCAAGTACAGTCAGGGCATTGTCTTCTGAGGTTTCTACCTGCAGAAATGCCTTTTTCTTAGTCACGCATGTCAAATACTTGGAAGGAAGCTCGCACAAAAGGCACGGTGGGCTATGGAAGTCATCCGACCTTGAAGAAAGCGATTGAATAGCTCTAGAGGGGCGGAAACCTTTTGTGTTTGCCTGTACAGCTCGGCGTACAAAGTTAAACATAACGTTATAACGTTGGAATTTCTGTTTACGTGAATAACGAGGTGTCCGTTTTTCGAGGGCAAAGACAGTCTGCATAGCGCGCTTTTGTAGAGACTAGCTAGGGACACAGGCAACATAGCCTCCGCAGCTGAGGCTTATACAACTGGGGGTTTGGTGGTCTTTGGCTGTTTTCTGATCAGCCCAGTTAAAAAATGGCGGTAATTCAACCACAGGCCGGCTATGCTGTCTATATGTGGTCAGAAAATAGCACATAAAAGCTCCCAAAGACCCTGAAGACCCCCCAAACCCCCAGTAATTTGGCATGCTATGGAGGCCACAGGCAACATCCCTTTTCCTAACCTAAATTTGTTAGAGTTAAAGAATACGTCAAGCAATGGACATGGTATGTACTACCATAACTGTCGTAGTTGACTAAGCAACGTTATCTGCCTAGCCTCAATAGCATGACATGAAAAGGGCTTGTCAGGACAGGAAAATAGCCTCCTGTGCAGGCCCCGCGGCGGTGGGGAAGAGTTTTTAACGCATTATTTTGATATAGCCGGCCATCCTACATAGCCGCCAAGAGAATGGACCCTTCTCTCGGTGGCTATGTAGGATGGCCGGCTATATTAAAATAATGCGTTAAAAACTCTTCCCCACCGCCGCGGGGCCTGCACAGGAGGCTAATACTAGTAACAGGAAACGGGCTTGTCAGGACAGGAAAAGGGCTTGTCGTAACCACAGGTATTTAGGTCGTATGAATATTGAGGTATGTCGTGTCCTTGTGGTAAAATTGTTGGGTCACGATTCCACTGCGGGTGACTCGTGATCATGAAAAGACTATGTATTTGCGGGCCAATTTCAAAAGTCACATAGGATGTGGTTATAATATGATTACTCACATGGCGATTTATGCACTATGACGTTGTAACGGAGCCATCTGTCGAAGTTTGTAGGTACTGCATGCTGATACGCTGCTAAAAGACTGTGTATGTGCGGGACAATTTCAGAGGCCATACAGGATGTGGCTATAATATGATGAATCACATGGCGATTTATGCACTAAGACGTTGTAACGGAGCCATCTTTCGAAGTTTGTAGGTACTGCAGGCTGATACGCTGCTAAAAGACTGTGTATGTGCGGGACAATTCAGAAGCCACACAAGATGTGACTGTAATATTATGAATCACACGACGATTTATGCACTACTATACGGCGTTGTAACGGAGCCATCTTTCGAAGTTTGTAGGTACTGCAGGCTGATACGCTGCTAAAATACTGTGTACGTGCGGGCCAATTTCAGAAGCCACACAGGTTGTGGCTATAATATGATGAATCACAAGACGATTTATGCACTAAGACGTTGTAACAGAGCCATCTTACGAAATTTGTAGGTACTGCAGGCTGATACTTTTGAGCGAACCGGTTGTCCACCTTAGGCCATGTTGATTTGATTATATGGATGACATCCGCGCGCGCATGAATTTTCGGCCGTTTCCAAACAAAAAAAAGTTTTCAACCATACTGTAAATCGTGCAAAACAGTTGCTAAATGAGCAAAAATACACCATAAGTTGCAAGGAAACATTTAGAAACGATACCAATGTCGTAGAATGCCAAAATCAAAGGAAAAAAGACAAAAATGTAAAGAAATGAATTCGAAGAGTAGATTATTCGCCATAACATATTCTGTGCCATTTGTTCAACCTTCATGACCACGTAGATTTCATAATGAAACCAACTTTTTTGGGGGGGCCAAAACTTTTTTTTTTTTAATATTCGCACGCTCGCATCCGTTTTGGGGTTCCCTGAGGATGTCATCCATATGATCAAATCAACATGGCCTTAGATCATCTACAAAGCTTAAACTTTGAAGACACAAAGAGATTATACTTTGAAATCAATCACTGCAAAATGTGTGTCTGGCGACTGAAGTGAAAAGAAAGAGAATTTTCTTCTATAAAAATATCAGAACTAGAAAGGTAACATTTGCAAGGCAAACGCATACTGTTTACCTTGAAGTTCGCATATGATCTGCCCTGTTAATTCTTACTCAAACACATTCATATACAGTGTATATGGTTAGACAGGAGTCTAAATCCCTCCTGCTATAAACTTGCAACATGATATAACCCGACACTAGTTACCATGGTGATAGACGTCTGGCTCAGGTCATCAACCTTATATGTTTGGAGAAGAAGAGAAACAAATAGAAGAAACATCAGACCCAAAACAATACGTTTTCCTTCTGCGAAGTTAACACACAGTCTATTCGACTCTTTCCGTCACCACAGATACAACAAGAACGGCAAATGGCGTCTCCATGACAACGACCAATGACGTCACGACACTCAAAACGACAGAGCAGGCCTCGTCATCAGTTCCAACCACGGATTCCTTGACGTCAGCAGCGGGGAATATGACGTCAGACACGACGAACACGACAAATCAGATGACGTCACCAATGACTCCTGGTATGTCAAACCTTCCATTTTCTTGTAATGAAGATAATGTTACACACGAATATCTACTGAGTTAAGTAAAGGTCAAATCAAAAGAACAGATACATCTATACATCATCAAGGTAGCACGAGAACTTAAAATGTAAAAGCTAAAAAGTTTTTGGCCAGAAATTACATTATGTAGCAGGTGGCAGGACAGATTTGGAGGGGCTTGATATCATATATATATATGAATGTGTTTGTGTAAGAATGAACAGGGCAGTTTGTTAGACTAGACCTCTCTCATTCCAGAGTATTTTCAATCCTGTTAAGGAGCCCCTTCCTTGAGTGGCTCCATTCTCGTAATAGTCTGACAGTTTTTGGCCATGTTGGGCCCAGATGTTGCTCTTGACTGTCCTTCTATTTTAAGGGCTAGACCATGTGAAGGTAAACGTTGTGCATTTGTACCATCCGGATTTTGAAAATTAAAATGATTTTTCGAGCGTAGCGGAGCCAAAACCTGGATTGTACCTTGAGGCTAACGCATTTGCCCTTTCTAGCATCACCTTGTTCTGTCACCAGATCTGACCATGGTTGTCATGTATGACTTAGATGTTGCACTAGGCTGTCCCTCTATCTCGTACAGGGCTAGACCATGTAAAGATAGCAAGTCGGCAGAACGTACTGCGCCTGTAAGAAACCCCCATATTTCACGGTTTTCGTTGGATTTTTGGTCAACGTTGCATCTGATCTTTGCCTCTGGCAGATGATATTTTCTCCGACATAACATTTAGAAACTACAAACCTTATATGCGCGAATACGACTTATATGAGATGTTTTGTCCAAAGTGCTATGCACAATGTATTACGGTTTCGCGTAGATGTAGTACGTTTTGTCCGACGTGCTTGTAAAAATAAATGTTACTTTTTCTAACGTCACACATTGTTCTTTCAGCAGACGTCCCCACAGCCGTCATGACGACAACGCCGCTCCTGACCACCACCATCCTGCTGACGACAAACGACACAGCGACGGCAGACGGCACGACACCAACGTCCAATGCGAGTATGGCAACCCCTGGGAACGAGACGGATGCCATGGTAACCACTGTTTCCATGGTAACGACACCTAGTCCCATGAACACGACACATGATATGGTTAATTCGACAGTCAATGGCGGGGACATGGCGTCTACCGTACAGCCTACTACAAATGATGCCACTACATCAACGACAACCACAGAGAAACCGACCACAGCTACAATGATGGCCACAACGCCGATGGTTACGTCAACCCCAGAAGTGATGACAACACAACAAACGTCGAGTAATCCCGTCATGACGTCGACAGCAATGGCTGACACGTCCACTGAAATGATGACGACAACGCTAGTGGGTACGTCATCGCCAGAAGTGATGACAACGACGCAAACGTCAAATAATTCAGTCATGACGTCGACAGCAATGGATGAAACGCCTACTGCAGAGGCAACGTCGATAGAAATGGCTTTAACGACGGAAGCGCCTACCACAATTGCGCCAATGACGAATGCAACGGAAGAGATGATGACAACAACAGAATTGATGACGACAACATCGGAGAACACGAGTACCACAGAAATGATGACGAACATGACCACATCAAAAATAATGACGACAACAGCGGCTACGACCACAG